TACATTTCGGTAAATAAACTGATTTTTTTTAAATTTCGGTAATTTTTCCTTAATATAGTAAAAAAATTAAAACCCCCAGTGGTGAATAAATACCACCAAAAGAAAGCTCTATCTGTCCCCAAAAAAGGGTATAAAATTCATTTCAGTACAGCGCTGCATGACGGAAAAAATGTCAGTCAAAGTACCGCAGCGCTGAATACTGAAAAATGGCCTGGATGGGAAGGGGGTTTAACACCGCGGATGTCAACTGGTTAAAGCAACCTTTTATCACCATTAGCAATGAAGGATGTGCACCATTTTCCCCACAATGTGGGTGCAAAGCCGCCTGATGCAGGTTATAGTTACTTTATACAAGAATTATTCCTTACATATATTTGAATATATTTATCAATTATTCACAAAACATTTAAACAACTTTCATCTATTTTTCACGTTTTCTAATAGAATCTTCTATGAAAACTGTGAATCTTGAGTGAAAGATTTGTAAATTCTAGGTGAACACATTGATATAGACCATATTGTGTGCTTACTTTGAGCTAGTATAGTTTCTTTTAATTCTGTTATGGGCCCATGTAGACTGAAACTGTCTTCTTGACCAAATTTTTTTTTATCTTGTTTGATCAGCTATCCTTGTTAGTCTGGTTCATATGGTGCTAATTACCTATGTTATAAGCAGTGTCTGAGCAGTGCTCCCTTGCCAAAATCTTTTCCCTAATCCCCTTCTGGCCTCACAAGAATGTGGTGTTGAACAGTAGGGCTAACTCAAACGGTATGCCCCTGAAGCAGCGTACATCTTCTCCTATGCTCAGTAATTCTGTAACAATAGGAGAATGCATGTACTGACAGTTATGCAGACCTAGCAATCCATCTTATCCTCACTGTCCCCTGTCAGTTAAACCATTAGTTATATCTAAAGCTTCTCACACTCTAATTGCGCAAGTTATTGGGAAAAATATTAAAACATTAAAAAGAAAAAGCTGCTAGCAGGTAATCGCATGCAGGCACCTGCATACACTTACAGCATTTTTAATTGCCTCCTACACATCTGAAAACCTATTGATTCTAGACCATCAAAATCTGAACACGTCCTGGTTGTGACATTAGTTTGTATACCCTCCCCCAATTCCCACACATTCCTATTGTTTAGTGAGGCAGCCCATCATTATGCCAGACCAATTGGAGTGTGGGGTGGCAGAGAGAGCGGCCTTGCTCCGATACTACACAGGAAGTAGAGTCTGAGAGCTTTGCCCATCAGAACAGTCCGGTATTTAGATGTGCATAAAGCAAGGAAGCAAATTTGCTACATATATATACACGCACCACTTTTTGCCTGGTAGTTGCCTTATTTTTTTCTATGGACTCTCTCACTCCGGAGGTCAGTTGTTACTGCCTTTTATAGGTTTGAGAGCAATAAAGCCGAAGTGAGATAAAAATGGACAATTCAGCTGGAGAGATCTAACCGTTTCCTTGTGTGTAATTCAACTAATATCTTCTTAAAGCTTGTTTAGTTAAACGTACCTAAAAAACAATTTGATTTGCTTTGTTTGAAAACAAAATTATAATTTCCCTTAAACTGTTAGTAAATCCAGACGTCTGGACACACCATATAACATATATTGACCTGCACACTCTATGAAAAGAAAAGCATAAGAAGCAATGTAGCCAAACCTTTTTATATTGAAGGGCATTTTGCATATTTTTTTCTTCCAGATGAGAAAAGGAACAGTGTAAATTCCAGTGCAGAATCTGTCAATTCATCCAATGCGAACAGTTCCGTGGGCTCCAGCTGTGTTCAGCGCACCAACATGAATAATCTTAACTCCAGCGACCCTGACCTGGAAGTAATTAAAATGAGCAGGCCAAATTCCCTGTAAGTACTGTGGTCTGCGCTGGGGTTTTACGTATGCCTTGCATGACAGTGCTTCATTGTTCAATACAGATCTTTTTCTTGGATTGTATTGATGGACTGCATGTGGTGCAGAAATACTTTTGTGCCTTGTGGATGCATGTAAATTTAAAATTTTATTTTAAGACTTTTTTTTATAAAGACATTGGCATCTATAATTATTTTTAAAGGTAATTGTTTATATTCCTCAAATTATTTTAACGCAAGTGGTCACTTTAGTACCTACTTGATTTATATATAGGTGAAGAGATTAAAATCATTTGTAGAGAATTATAGTTATGATAGAGCTAAGAAAAAGGCTACTGGAAAATATGTTTGGTGTCACTAGTACAACCAAGTCACAATTAATCTAACCTTGTGCCTCTTTCTAATCTCTATGAGCTTCATGTTATGTTGTATGTGCTGGTGTTTGAAATTATTTACACATCTCCCATTAAGATTCAGATGTTTATGTATGGATCTGATTGGTTGTGGAGTATAAGTAACTCCAGTAATCAAGTATGGAATTAAGAATCCCAAATTGATCATTCAGGCTTTGTTTTTCCTTCTGTATGTAATTTATGTATGATCATGTTTTTTATTCATTGTCTGTTTGGAAACTCTTTGTAGAATCCTGCAAAACTGACCATTGTGATTTAAATGACCAATTGGGACAGGTTCCCAGATAAAATTGTCAGTTCTTAAAATAGAAAGCCTGTTGGCATCTGTGTCATTTGCTTTTATCTAGGAAAAGCTACCAATTACTTTGTAGTCTTTGTCTTTTTAAGAATAAATAATCATCATAGAAAACACATCTCATTTATTGACTTCCTACTTTTCTCAGATTCTATATGTCTCGCAAGCATCCTTTGTGCTCTGCTATTGTATTCAGGATGGGCCATAGAGGGAAGTTTTTTTTTTTCTTGACATTTCTTCAAGTAGACTCTGAAAAGGGATGAAAAACAATGACGACCCTTAGTAATTTGGAAGCTTTGTTGTTCCTGCTAAAATTTAATGTTTTTAATCCCACAGTTGTATAGATATCATTTACTAGTAAAAATTGGCTAGCCAGAGTGCAACAGGTTATTCAGTTACTGAGATTTTTTTACTTTTCATCTGTGGAACTTACTTTCATGGAAGACTGATCTGATTAAAGTTTAACGCCCACCTAACTTTAAAGAAGAACTCTAAGCAAATTAACCCTTGCAATGGGCTACCCCTCCACTGCAAGTGCTCCTTTTGGTCTAAAATAAAAAAGAAATACCCACCCGATCCTTGGTCCCACCTGGATGCTAGACTGGTCCCCACAGCCTCTCTGTCCCTCTACTCCGGCTGTGGCATGTCCCTCAGGGTCCTCATGTCCATGCAAGTCAATGGGCTTGTATTAAGCGTGAGAAAGCCAGGGGGGCTTAGACCACCGGAGCCCAGGGGAGATGAGGCTGTGGGTAGTAGTAGAGTAGGAAAAATTAGAACTTATGACATGTTTTCATAGCTGAGTGGAAAAAAGAAGAATATGGGCGCAAACCAGAAACTGTCACATATCAAGATATAGGCTACGCATATGCACAAAACATGATGGCCCCAAAAGACCTCAGGTATAGTAAAAGTATTTAAAAAAACTGTTTCAGCAAAAGGTGAGGGCTTTACTCAAATCTGGAGGGACAAATCCTAATAAAGAATAAAATGAATGAGTAGTTCTTATACAGAATGGTTGTGATGGTTAAATGTGAACTTGGAAGGCTGTAGACATTTACACAAACATCAGCAGCAGACAGAGACACAAGGTTAATGATAGTAATTAAGACTAACCTGCTCAATATCTACCCCACCAAAAGTGGCTATCTGGTAGGCTCGGGGCACATACGATTGTGACATCTGTTCGTTTCCTGTTATCTTATTCCTATGGCTTCCCTTAGTGCTACATATTGTATAAGGTATCCCACACATATATAATTCAGGAGTATGCAGAATAAGTAGCATGATGTCTTCACTGCAGGATTGAGAATAAAAAAAGGGCATTATGGATTCAAGTAAAAGTGTATTCTATGTTCCACAGTTAGCTTGCTTTGATCACATGGGGTCTGTACTTGGCGTCCAGCTTCCTGTAACTTCTTCAGTGATTTTATGTGCTTCCTGACATTGATGATTGTATACTGTTCTCCTTTTCTGGCTCCTGCTACTGAATAATTGCAATCTAATTGCTGTAGAGCCACATAGCATCTCATTTTGATTTCTACCACAAACGCACACATAACCTTTAATATTATTTAACTCCAGCTTAGCAATAGACCATAAATAACCACTCACACAATCCCTATTTATAAAAGGATGGATTTACACCAAGCAGTTGTTAGTGGAAATCTTTCTGCTGTCTATGGAATATTTCTAGTTCCCATATGTTTTCAGATTCAAATGTAGTACAGCCGTGAAGAAAATTTTTACATATACTTAATAAGAAAATGTACTTCAATTTAAGAGCCATCAATTTCATAAGTCAAGTTAAAAATGTCAATGTATTTTCTCTTCGGTTCATTGAAGAGCACAGGGTAGATCTTGGATCACTAACCATGGGGTCACTGTCAGGAGTAGCACACTAGGTAAAAAACAAAAGCACAGCCTAGGTGTTAGCCAAAACCCCATCGGCTAGAGACAGCCCAGTATTTCGCCTGGTGTCAAGGAGTAAGGACCTAAGCTCCATGCTAGGAATCTTAGTTCCCCTTTTTTGTAGGAATTTTTTTTTTGATTGTCTCTTTAAATCGTCCAATCAACAGCTGACAAGCTGGATAATATAGATCCCTGTAGTCCCCCCAGCTCAGCAAGTGACCGCATGCAGATCCTTAGTCCAACAAAGCTGCAGCTCAAATTCTATTAGGGCCGGAAGCCGTGGCTGCCATGTTAGTATTGGACTCCTGCCCATGTGAGACATCAAGTCCTGTGACATCACTACCACAACTGTGTGTTTCCTATGGCTGGAGTTTCAGCAGCTTTATTACTTTTGGATCACTCCAACCGCCTGTGAGGCAGATTCAAGATCTCTGCCTTGTCCTTCAATGAACGCAGAGAAAAGGATTTTACAGTGAGTACAAAAAAATCCTATTTTTGAATTGATGCTGGACTACAGGCCTTAGGAATAGTATGACGTTTTAGTTTAACCTCCGAATTTGGTCCTGTGTGTACGGTAGTATGACAAGCCCGTTTACCTGTAAACTAATATTTGATTTTTTCATTTTGAGATACTGCCTCAGTAGTTTGACATTTGTTTACAGTTCATGTTTTGCTCTTGGTTCCAGGGCTTTTCTATAAACATGTAGTGTGACAACTATATGGATATATGGTGGTGAATTATATCAGTGGCAGACTGGCAATAGCCCATAGATCTGAGGGGAACCCAGACCTTTGATATTTAAAATGAATTATCCAGATAAGAGTTTCATGGGATAAAGTTCGGAATGGAAACACCTGAGCATATTCCACTATGATTTAACCACATTTAGGTAGTCACCAAGCCATATTAATGCTTGTTCAGCGTGTTTGTGTTATGTAGAGGGTAGAGGCAAGTCACTGTGAGGTCAGGAAGACCCACTGCCAGACACCTGCAGTTCCATCTTTTCAACAAGGAAGCCATCAAGATGTTTTAATTTGGGATTTAATGTTGCCACAATCTGCTTAATTGAGGAATTTATCTTTACTATACTCAATGGAAGTAATTTAGTATATTAAAGCCTCAAAATGCAAGGTCCACTTTTTCTTTAGAGCACTAACAACCAATGTTAAAATGCTGCATTACACATAAAACCACACACGTTAAGAGAAAAAAAAATGCTTGCCTTACATTGCCAGCTTTTATATGCACTGTCTAGGGGAGGGTGATGTTATTAGCCTTCCAGTGGATCTTTGGCTATGCTGAGGATCCCAAATCTCTGAAGATCTCTGAATAAAGAATTTCCGCCACTCCGCGTGAGAGTCTTCCGAGATGTGGGATTTGAGATTCTTGGCATCGAGAGCTAAAGCAGGGGTTCAAGGCATGTATACTTCTCTGCTAATCTGTGTGTATGTGGGGTTTTATATGTATAATGGTGTGCTTAAACATGGGATGGGGTCTGTTTTTTAAATCCTGCAAATTAAGTTATATTTATCTGTACTTTTTTATTTTTGAATATACATTTTAATTATGTAAATCTTGTCATAGGCTCATTTTGCCATCAGTCAAACTGTTGGGCAGAGAAGAGGGGCGTGGCCTGCCACACGGCTGTGTTTGTCTATGGAAACACAGCTACGGCATGCATGGCCAGGAATGCGCATGCACTGGGGAGGGGGGAGGAAGCGATGAGGGGACCCACTAGGAAATGAGGAATTGATAAATAAAAAAAAAATAAAAAATCTGCATTATTTAACTGCCTCCCACTTATAAAAATTAAAAGAAACTAAAGCTTTTAATATCACTTTTACATATTTTTGCAGTGTGGAGAGAAAACTGAAAAGTATGGGGAAATGTGACTTGATTACAGCTCGGGTTTTCGCCCAATACTATATGTTTAGCAATAATTTGGCATGTCACCATCCTGAAATGCCAATCACAGGAATGTCACTGAGGGCCTGTTCAGACGACGTCCGTTTTCTGTGCTGACCTGATCCGTACGCTCCTGCACTAAAAATGCATCCCAATGTATCCCTATGTGTTTTATGGGCTACAGTTCTCACGTGCGCAGTCCGTTCAGGTTACGACAGAAAAAATACTGCCTAATGTCACATTTTGTTCGGTCAGGAAACGGTCCGCAAACGCGTCAACGCATCAAAAACCCACTGCACTGCAGCTAACATACTGACAGTCCCACTCCACAAAAAAAAAAAATATATATATATTTTTAAAACTGTGAGTAACTTTGTAAATAAAGAAAAAGAAAGCATTGTATGGCTCCTTGATGAAAAGGGTAAGGGCCTGTTCACATGTTTTCAGGTCCTGATCAGCAGACGCGGTGCTATGT